AAAAAGCCGGCCGGCCGGGTCTGTTTAAAAATTTCATGTCATGAAAATCAATAAATTAAATTTGTGTAGCCTAATAATAATATTTGAGCCCCTGCTAAAAGGCGCGCATCAAAAAAAAAAAACTCCTTATCGACCAATCAGAAATGGGCTAAAAAAATTGATCAAAGATTTTTTTTTTTTTTTTTTTTTAACGCGCTGAATTTTTCAAAATGCCATTCGATCCGTTAGAAATGGACATTTACGCTGCTTGTAAAAATGTATTACTAAAAATTGAAGGAATCCGCCATTCGAATCAGGCCGATGTGCTAGAACACTCTTACAACTTAATAAAGACTTTTTTAACAACCGAGAACCGTAATGATTCTGCGATAAAATCGCCTTCAACACGCGAACTATTGAATTGCTTATCTGATTTACTTCTACACCCATTGCTTACTTTATCAATCGCGGAACTATTCCGTCCGATCTTGCTTGATCTAGCTTCTCGTTGGTTATTACCGCGGGACATTACGCACGCTTCCACATTTATCTACTCTCGAATTGAAAACGTGGCTTTTGCTTTCAGTCAGTTACTACCTATAGCACCTCAATTATTAGGGCAAGCTTTTTACAATTTTTTTTTTCTTTTGAATAATAGAATTGAGGTTGTATTTGACTAAATTAATTATATATCTTTTAGTTTTGCTGTTACACTCTTTTCTCAATCTCCTTCAATATTTTCAGGGCTTGATTCTTTGAGTCAAAATGAATGTAACAAAGATGTACGGATTTTGTTAATTCTTTTTTTTTTTTTTTTTGTTAAATCACAGCTGTTAATTTAGCTTTATACATTTCTATTTGGTATTGTAGAATTATATGACGGAAAAAGACATACAATTTCTTTTGATCACAGCATATCGACTTTTAAGATTTTCTGCGACCACATTTTCTCGTTTATGGGATTGGTCCACGCTTATTCAATTGCTGACACATTCGAATAAAGCTATTCGTTATCTAACCTTGTGTTGTTTGGAAATTGTTTTTGGTTTGAGTGATGATCAAAAGGAAAAGGCGCATAGTAAATGGATTGGTCCAAAAAATGAACCAATTTTGATAGATTGGGAAAATGGCGAAACACTAGATGTTCGAATGTTAATGTATGTGTATTGTTTAAAAAAATTTTTTTTCATTTGTAGTATATATTAAGCTTATTTACTATATTACAGTATTTTGGACCAAGCGATACACTATAAGCAACAGTTTAGTTTGCTCCAAAATGATTATGGCAGTTCGTCATTAACAGAGTCGCGTATATTACATGATGATTTATCACCGTTAACTGTCAACATTTCTAAAGTTTTGCTACAGAAATTAAATTCATCCGGGAATACTACATCAAAAGTAAAGAAACGTCTTGTAATGACTGATTCTACGCAAAGAAATTTAAATGAAATATGTTTGGCGCTTTCTATGGGTTCACCAGTTTTACTTGAAGGTGTTACTGGTTCAGGGAAAACGTCATTGATAGAAGAAATTGCAATTGCAACTGGACGTGATGAAGGTAAGAAAAGTTTTATTTATATTCATTAATTTACTCTATTCGTATTATCTATTATTAATTATTATAATTAATTATTATATGATTAATTATGATTATAGAGCTTGTAAAAATTCATTTGGGTGATCAGACAGATGCAAAAGTACTATTAGGAACTTACGTATCTACAAACACTCCTGCCACATTTCGTTGGCAGCCTGGAATTCTCACTACTGCCGTGCGCGATGGATGTTGGGTTTTGATTGAAGATATAGATCTCGCGTCAATAGATGTGTTATCTATCTTATTTCCTTTGCTTGAGACTGGTCAACTTTTCATTCCAGACAAAGGTCAAAAAATTTATGCAAAGCAGGGTTTTCAATTATTTGCAACAAGAAGTTTAATGTCCGACTGTGATAATGAGTTTTCAAAAAGGCAAACGACTGATTCTATTATCGGTCATACATTATGGACAAAAATTAAAGTACAATCTCAAAGTATCGATGAACTAGAATCTATAATTGCAAATCGTTTTGGAGGTTTACAGGATTTAGTTCCCGATATTATACGTGTTTATAAAGCTATGGTTTCTATTTATCAAGATGTTACAATGTTTTCATCAAATGCACTTAGATTTATATCTGCCCGTGATTTGATGAAATGGTGTAAGAGATTCGAATTTTTTATTGGTTCAAATGATCATGTGACTTATAGTCAAGGTCTTTCAAATAAAGTGCGAGAAGAACTTTTCAAAGAAGCCGCTGATTGCTTTTGTGCCATGATTTCAGACTATAAAAGTTGGTTCATGGTGTTAGAGAGGCTTGGTGAAACTCTAGGAATGACTGATCAATGGGTTCAATTCTATGTAAATTCTTACATTCCAAACATTAATATTGATGATAAAGATATTATAATTGGACGGGCTCGGTTTCTTTCAGTGAACCGCAAAAAAAATATAAACATTAAACGTGAATCACAACAACAATCATTTGCCAACACAGGTCATACTTTAAGATTATTGGAACAAATTGCTGTATGTGTTCTTCTATGTGAGCCTGTCCTATTAGTTGGCGAAACTGGAACTGGTAAAACGGCTACAATTCAATATTTAGCTGAACTTATGCATCAAAATCTTATCGTTGTTAATTTGTCACAGCAAGGTGATAGCAGTGATCTTCTTGGTGGTTTTAAGCCGGTTGATGCAAAAGTTATAGTTACGCCCTTGAAAGAGGAATTTGATAAATTATTTAGAAAAACTTTTTCAGCGCAAAAGAATTCTCATTTTTTGGAAACAATACATAAAATGTATGTTACCAAGAAATATTCAAAATTAATATCTTTAATGCAAGAGGCAATTAAATTAGTTGAGAAAAGTTTTAACACGGAACAAAGTCAGGATGAACAAAAGAATTCACGAAAAATATCAAATCCTGAGCTAAGAAATCAATGGAAATTATTTGAAAATTCTGTTAAGGAATTTCAATATCAGCTTGATCAAATACGTAACAAATTTGTTTTTAAATTTGTCGAAGGTTCTTTAGCGAATGCTGTTACAAAAGGTGATTGGATCCTTCTGGATGAAATTAATTTAGCATCAACGGAAACCTTAGAATGTTTAAATAGCATTCTTCAAGATTCGGAGAGCTCTTTGTTATTAATTGAAAAAGGTGATTCTAAACCAATCACTCGTCATCCAAATTTTAGAATTTTCGCATGTATGAATCCTGCAACTGATGTAGGCAAGCGGGATCTTCCACCTGGACTACGCAGCCGGTTTTCAGAGTTTTATGTTAATTCTCCAGATAGTAGACGGGATGACTTGTTGTGCATTGTAAAAAAATACTTATCGGGATGCATTCATGGCGAAGATCGTGTCTGTATTGAAATAGTTGATTTTTATTTGGAGGTAAAGGAATTGCAACGACAGCACAAGCTTGTTGATGGATCAAATCAACGTCCTCATTTTAGCATGAGAACTCTTACTCGCGCATTGAGCGTTGTCTCTCAAATCACGCCAATATATGGATTAAAACGTTCTATTTATGAAAGTTTCTGTATGACATTTTTGACTCAATTGAACAAAGAAAGTGAAATAATAATGCAAGGCTTGATTGAAAACTGTTTGTTAAATGGTGTTAATCTTAAGGCTCTAATTACTCAAATTCCGCGACAACCGTCTAACGGTGATTATGTCCAATTTGGATGTTATTGGTTAAAAATTGGGCAATATCCTTCAAAAGAAGTATCAAATTATATATTAACGCCTTCAGTAATGAAAACTTTGAACAACTTAGCGAGAGTTGTCATGAGCAGTAAATTTCCAGTGTTGCTTCAGGGCCCTACCTCAGCTGGAAAAACGAGTATGATTCATTATTTGGCTCAAAGAACTAATCATCGATTTATGAGGATTAACAACCATGAACATACCGATCTTCAAGAATATCTTGGTAGTTATGTTACAAACAGTGAAGGCAAACTCGAATATCAAGAAGGGGTACTTGTTGAAGCAGTGAGGAAAGGTTATTGGCTTGTGTTAGACGAGCTGAATCTCGCACCTACTGATGTATTAGAAGCTCTAAATCGTCTTTTAGATGATAATAGAGAACTTTTTATTCCTGAAACACAAGAAGTGATCAGACCACATAGTGACTTTATGCTTTTTGCGACTCAAAATCCACCTGGATTATATGCCGGACGTAAAGTACTTTCCCGTGCATTTCGTAATCGGTTCGTTGAGATACATTTCGATGATATTCCGGAAGAAGAACTAGAAACTATTCTTTCAGAAAGATGTGCTATTGCTCCATCTCATTGTAAACGTATGGTCCAAGTCTATAAAAGACTCATGGAACAACGTCAAAGTACAAGAATATTTGAAAAACAGCATGGATTTATTACATTAAGAGATTTATTCCGGTGGGCAAAAAGGGGTGCGATAGATTATAAGGAATTGGCTGAACAGGGTTTTATGCTTTTGGCAGAAAGGGTAAGAAAGCCTGATGAAAAATTAATTGTTAAACAAGTATTAGAGACGGTAATGAAGGTAACTATCGATGAAAATGCCATATATGATTGCTCTAAATTGGAAGAGTTTAAAATGTATCAAAAAAACAATATTGTTTGGACAAAAGCTATGAAACGATTATTTATGCTTGTTGCGCAATGTTTAAGGTTTAATGAGCCTGTCTTATTAATTGGTGAAACTGGTTGTGGCAAAACGTCAGTGTGTCAAGTGTTGGCCGAAGCTCGATGCACTGACTTATATATTTTAAATTGTCATCACAGCACTGAAACTGCGGATCTTCTAGGTGGGCAAAGGCCGTTGAGAAATCGAGATGTTTTGAATTCTGAACTTAAACAAGATATTTCTGAGTACTTGAAAAACCATGAACAACATGATATAGATTTGGAAAAGCTTGATTTGTGTGATTTGGTTAGACATCTTGATCTTGTTTCCAAAGATGAACAGAACTTACAAATTGATAAAAATAAAGCCAAACATTTATCATCAAGATATAAACAGTCTTGCACTTTATTTGAATGGATTGATGGACCGCTTGTTAAGGCCATGAAAGGCGGATCGTTTTTTTTATTAGATGAGATTTCTTTAGCTGATGACTCTGTTATAGAGCGTCTTAATAGTGTTCTTGAGCCCCATCGAAGTTTAACATTACCGGAAAAAGGAGGGAAGTGCATTGAAGAATTCGTTGCTGAAAGTGGGTTTCAATTTTTGGCAACTATGAACCCTGGAGGTGATTATGGGAAAAAAGAATTGTCACCTGCTTTGAGAAACAGATTTACAGAGATTTGGGTTCCACCAGTTTCAAGTGAGGAAGATCTGTTGCAAATTATTAGTTCACAACTTATATATCCTGAGTCAAAAAACGTTGGACTGTCGATTTTAGAATTTATAAATTGGTTTTTTCATATACTTGGTAATCATGGCGCAATCATTAGTCTTAGGGATATTTTGTCATGGGTAAACTTTATTAATGTCACTATAGGACAACTTGGTCCCAAAGAATCTTTTATTCAGGGGGGATGTCTAGTTTTCTTAGATGGACTTGGATCGAGCTCCGCATCACGCACGTTATTATCAGGGCGAACTTTAAAAGATATTCGAATGAAATGTTTGACGAAACTGAAAGAATTAAGCTCTAATTTTGCTGTTTTTGAAGCATTTGTCAATTTTGATTGTGAGCTAATTAAAATACATTCCACTGAAACTCATTTTGGTATTAATTACTTTTCTATACCTAAAGGACCATATATATCTCATGACATTACTTTTACTTTGCATGCACCTACGACTTCGGATAATGCTATACGCATTCTTCGAGCTATGCAAGTCCGAAAACCCATTTTACTGGAAGGTAGTCCAGGTGCTGGTAAAACTAGTTTGATCACTGCGTTGGCAGCAGCGTCAGGTCACAAACTTGTTCGTATAAACTTATCTGATCAAACCGATTTGATAGATTTGTTTGGTTCAGATCTTCCTGTTGAAGGTGGAATAAGTGGCGAATTTGCATGGCGAGATGCACCATTTTTACAAGCAATGAAATCAGGGGATTGGGTATTATTAGATGAGCTTAATCTTGTATCACAATCCGTATTAGAAGGCCTCAATTCTTGCTTAGATCATCGTGAAGCGATATACATACCAGAACTGGATAAGGAGTTCTTCTGTGCTAAAGAATTCCGCGTTTTTGGTGCGCAAAATCCTTTGCATCAGGGTGGAGGTAGAAAAGGCCTCCCTAGATCATTTATTAATCGATTTACACAGGTTTATATTGATCAACTCACGAATAATGACCTACTCTTTATATGTAAGAGCTTATTTCCACAAGTAAAAGAAGTCGTTTTGGAAAAAATGATAGAGTTTAATACTCGGATAAATGAAGATATAATGATTAGATGCTTATATGGGCGAAACGGAGCTCCATGGGAATTCAATTTACGAGACATATTCCGTTGGCTTGAATTACTTAGTAAAGATTATAGCCTTGGATTTTATTCTTCACCTGATGAGTATTTGGATCTCATCTATCTTCAGAGAATGAGGACTGAACAAGATAGGGATTGTATTATTTCAGTTTTCAATGAAATTTTTGGCCAGAATTATCAACGACCAAAACATCCATATTATCATATTGATCCTAAATTTGTTCAAGTTGGTCATTCACTTTTAAAGCGTAAAGATTCTCATATAACTCATTCTTCAATAAATAAGTTGCATATTTTACAATCTCAACTACATCCATTGCAATCATTGATGAAATGTGTTGAAATGAATTGGATGGTCATATTAACCGGTCCTGAAGCATCTGGAAAAACCAATTTAGTAAGATTACTTTCAAACCTCACTGGAAACCCGCTTGAAGAATTCATGATGAATAATTCTGTAGATACGATTGAATTATTAGGTGGATTTGAACAATTTGATTTATCCCGACATCGTCAAATTGTAATTAATGAGTTACTAAATCTGACTAACGAAGTTACTAAAGATGTACTTTTATCAACGCATGTTCAACTATCAAATTCTAATTTCCAAACTGATAATGTTGTGCAAACTTTAATGCAACTTAATCATGTATTATTCACTTTAAAAAACTATTTCAAATTTAACATGCGCTTGGATTATTCAATAGTTGATTATTTATTGTCAATACTTGAACAGACCATTTCAAGTTATGGCTTAACCTTAACAATTAAATGGCATGCAATTTTCGATAAAGTTACTAGCTTGAAGTCCAAGGAAAATGAACCAGTTTCAGGCCTTTTTGAATGGGTTGATGGTGTAATAATTAAAGCATTACAGGATGGTCATTGGTTATTAATTGATAATGCTAATCTCTGCAATCCATCAGTTCTTGATAGACTCAATTCTTTACTTGAACCAAGTGGTGTTTTAATGGTAAACGAGCATAGTATGATTAATGGTGAAATAAGGATGATTCGTCCTCATAAAAATTTTAGGCTCTTTATGACCCTTAATCCAAAATACGGAGAATTATCACGCGCAATGCGAAATCGTGGTGTAGAAAT